TCCATCCATCCATCCATCCATCCATCCATCCATCCATCCTTCCATCCATCCATCCATCCATCCATCCATCCATCCATCCATCCATCCATCCATCCATCCATAATCACATGAATTACAAGTTGAGTTCCAAACATAGATGAAGCAGTACTATTAGATGCTGACGCGATTTCATAACCTAATCCATCTATTCATCCTGCGCTCAAGGACAGCAAAGCTTCACCCTGAAACTCTTCGCCTGAATCATTTTATCAACTTGTACCTACATTTAATTTACATTTTTTTGTGTTTCTGCTGTTTATTGCATCCTTGCTGTCTCTGCTCTCTGTCTGAGGATTAGCCATCGTTCCAGGCATAAAACAAAAGCCCTCTGAATTAATTACTTTGAAACCAGCTTTAACTTGTTATTTCAATGAAAAAGACTGTGTTGATGAGTTCAAAGTAGCAAAACTGCAGAGCACCCCAATTAGATCTTAATTCTTTAGCAGAGCTTTTTAGCTATAAACAAGTCATGTGATTACAGCTGTGCACATAGAATAGATTTTACTAAGGTATTAATGTGCTGCTGCTGAAGGACAGATAACTTTGGCCGCAAAGGTTTGCCATCCAAAATTGAGCCATTATGAGACCTAAAATAGAAAAATGTTGATAAATAACAAGATAATGCTCCAGTGTGGTGAGATAAACCAGCAGATATGAGTTGATCAATACAATATTGAGCTTTAAATTGTCTTACTGCTGAAATGTTCTGTATTAACAGACTTGCTTTGCCTTAGAGAATAAATTTAAGCAGTTATGCTCCACATTTAGATTCGTGGAGATTTAGATTTTTTTTAAACCTAATTTAGTTGATGCGTGGACTTTTCTCCAGCAGATGGCCTCAGCGTTCTATTTTAAATCATAGTAAAAAGTCAAAATAATGTGTTTTATATTCCTCCATCTTCATATTAGAAGATAATTACAGTGATACCACAAAGTGATCCCTGAGTGCAACATAAATATGGAGTGTATTTTCCCCCCATTATTTTTGCAAGCAAATAAAACCTTTTATGAATGGAAATTTAAAGGAAAAAAACACTTTGTAGATCAAAGTAAAAAAAAAAAAACAATGCAATCTAGAAATTAAACTTCCAAAGATGTATTTTTTCAAAAAGGTTTTAGAGAGTAACTCTGACGTTTTCTCAGATTTAGGTTTTCAAATGTCTTTTTTATTCAGTTTTCATGTTATCATTTCAAATTATATATATTTTCTAATGTTAAGTTTCAATTTTTTACTCCCCTTTGACTAATAAAAAAAATCTTATTGACGTCCATGCAGGCAATACACTGGAAAAATGATCTAGAAATAAGTAAAAATGTCTTAAATTAAGTGTATTTACCCTTAATTTGAGTGGGTAAATGAGATAGTTTGCCAATGGAATGAGTATTTTTACTCTTAAAATAAGATAATTCGCATAAAATGCACTTGAAAAAAGACAATTCAATTGTGTTTTCTTATTTCAGATCTAAATAATCTTGTTCCATTGGCAAAATGTCTCTTTTATCTCCTCAATTCAAGAACAAATGCACTTATTTTAAGAAAAAATTACTTTTATTTTTTCCAGTGTAGAAATGCATCTTAGCTTCTCACTGTAGAGGAAAGCTTGCTCCAGAAATAAAGAGGATGTGATCTGTAAAATTTAGTTAGAAAATAAAGGGATTTATTTATACTCAAAATGAAAACAAGAAATTTTAGGGGAAAATAAAATTTTTGATAAAATGTTTGATTTTTTACTTTGAAAATATCAAAAATGAAACAAGCATTTGAAAGAAGGTAGAAAAAAGTTGAAATAATGAAAATATATCTTTCTAAAAAAAACACAAGAAAACTGAAAAAAAGTAATTTTAAAAACCAAAATCAGAGAAAACACTAAAGTTACTCTCAATCATTTCTGGATTGCATTTTCTTAAATATCCAAAATGTGTTTTTTTTATATCCCATTTACAAAACATCTTCTTTGCTTGCAAAAGTAATAGAACAAAATTCTCCACATACATAAACCATGCAACACACCCTTCAATCCTGACTCTTCATCCATCCCTTTAAAACACACATCTCCAAATTATGCATAAACTCTATTTTCTGGGTACAAACCGAACCATGAGTTCCACCATAGGGAAAGGAAGAATATGTCATCATGTCCTTGAGAACATGCTCTTGTATAAACGCCTCATTTCATGTATTATAGAACGTGCACGGGTGCACTGCAGTTTCACTAAACACTTTTAAGCTCCTGTCTTCTTTCCTTAGCCCTAATAGTGACAGCTAATTACTTAGTAGTCAGGCGGTCAGGTATTAACTCGGTCGGTTCCTCTAGTGGTCAAATCCTCCAGAGTGTGAAGAATCAAATTAGTTTCCCTGGCTCTATTAACACTGACAAACAAAACACAGAGAAGCAGCCTGATATTGGTTTGATCACTGTAAAGCTGCTGGGTGTAACAGTAGGGGTCATTTGTCAATAATCTCCTTCACAAAATGTTCTTTTAAAAACAAATCTGGGAATTTTCTAAATGGCTAACCGCAAATCACTAATTGACCGAGCCATACCCCACGCAGATAGAAGATCAAGTCAGCATACCTGAACCAACAAATTCACTCGGCTGGTTATTATAGAGCATAACGTGA